CTATATATATTAATATCTATATAAATATATAGATATATATAGATATACTTACATAAAGCGTCTTCAATGTATTCAATGCCTGTTAGTTGTTGATTAGAAGAAAGAAGATATGGTTGAAAGAGTTGATATAAAAAATGGTTCATCATTTAGAATTTATAAAAGTGTTAAAAAGGCATAATTACGAATGTGTACAACTTTCAGGCACTGATATGATCTGCTCTGTACATTCTCTGTGATAACTTTACGTAATTTATAAAAAAAAAAGTAAAACAGATGTGCTGAAACTTATTTGTTTTACAAAATAAAAATAGTATACGTCAAAAATTATTTATGCTTTCTTTCCATTGATGTTCTTCATTTATGTCTCAAAAGTTTTACTGGCTATTAATAATGATCGATTTAATGATCATTTGCAATTCATATCAGGATGATTTATTAATATGAACTAACGATTTACGGTAACTAATCCAGCAGGTCCTAGACCTAATTTTGAACTTACTGATTTTATTTTTAAAGGTTGAAAACCAAGCTCGCTTTTCGGAATCCCATACTCCTGTAACTTTGCTTCATATGTCCTTAATAGGTCATCATGTGCTTTGCAAACTTTTGCTAATTCATACTGAAGATCTTGTATTGCAGTGTTTTTTCTAGTCAGCATGTTCTGTAAAAGAGAAAATGCATTCTGCTATAAAAATGAAGGCAAACAATTAATATACAGACCTCTAATTTCTTATTGGCATGTAGGACAGCTTCTGGGTCTAATTGAGCAGCAGCAAGCACCTCGCTAATCTGTGCCTCGCGTTGTTCTAGCAAATCAGATAATTTTTCGAGTTTCTTTTCTAAAAGTACGTTCTTTAGACCTGTTTTCTGTTGAAGTTCAAGTATAGATGAGATAAATCTTGATTGTAACTCGTCCCTTTCGGATTGACACTGATAAATAAAGTGCATTTTTAAGTTGAAATAAAAACGATGTTTGTCAAATGAAAAACAACTTTATACCTTGTCAAAACGTAATTCCAGTACTTCATTTTCCCATCTCAGATTCTCGAAATCTTTTTGAACAATTGCCAGCCTCTTCTTGGTAGACTGTAACGATGGGAAATAAAATGTAATATAAAATTAAGTCGTATTAATAAAAACTGATTAAGAAACTAACAGTTAATGCTTGTTTATCCTTCTCATAGTTTTGAAGTTGGTGAGTTAATTGTGCCACTGAATTTTCGAGATTTTTCAAGTCACCAGAATATTTTTTGTTTTCTGTGGTTAATTCTCGTACTTGTTTCTTCATCCGCTCTTCATTGTTTCTCATTACTTCCATTTGATCCTACAACATTAAGAAAAAAGTAATATCGATAGCTCTATATTTTATATTAGTCATACCTTCATACTTTTAATTAAAGACAAATTGTTCAGAGTAATATCATTGAAGTAAGTTTTCATTTCTGAGAATGCTGTCTCGTGATTTTTTATTAAATTATTAATCTGTATATTCTTCCTCTCTTCTACTTCGGTTATTTCCATACGATGTTTCAGAGTAAGAGATTCATACTGATTTGCTAACTTTTGCTCATACTTTTGTTCCATTTCGGCAGCTTCAGTTTCAAATTGCTTCGTTATCTTATCTATCTCCTCTGCATTTTGCTAAATAATGAAAATCAATTGCTGTAAATCCATTCAATAATGCGAGAAGATTCTTTCAATCTTTCCCATACCAATTTTAGTGCACGTATTTCATTTAGATGTGCTAAATCTTGCTCTTTTATTGTCTTCTTTAGATCCCTCTTATCTTTATACAATTCATTCTCTTGAGCTATGTAATCGTCTTGCGCCAATTTTAATGCAACCATGTGATCAGCTTTAGTTTCTGATAAATTGGTTTGATGTTCATACATCAAGTGTTTCACTTTCTGCTTGTACAATTTCAGCTCTGCCTCATGCTTATCAGTTACTTCTTCCTTCTCACGTTCTGTGTTTCTTTGCAGACAACAGACATCAGTTGAATGTGAGATCAAATATATTTAAGTTAAAAGAATCATGGATGTACCTGATAGTCGCTTGAGCCTCTTCTAATTGATGTCTTGTGATTTCCCAAAAAGTCCGAAGCTTATCTCTTTCAAGCTGAAAATAATTTCTTTCTTCTCTCTCCCGTTCCAATTCTTCAAGTATTTTGTGAGCATACACCTCTAATTGTTCTCTATTCATTTTTGTTGTATCTGCACCATCAACATTGTCAGGTGCTTTTGCCTTTTTTGGTCCCTATATAAAGTGTTCATAGAAAAATAAGTGATCATGTAAATCCAAATTGGATATAATTGCGATTTTGTCACGTAAATTTGTAACCAAAGGTCAGAAACTTACCATTTTGAATGCAAAATTCTATCAAGAAAATCTCAGAAAACGCGATACAAACAATATAGGATTAATGTTTAAATAAACTTGCTGTAAATAAGCAAACAAATTTATTAACGGCCGTAAAATATTTATAGTGGCACTGTGGTATTGACAGTTATAAATGAGATGTAGACGTCACTGCTCAACTTCCAAACATGAAAGATTATCTGTTTTGACTGAATAGTTGCCAAGCAACTAAAATCCAAATGACATGTATAACAC